ATAAAATCTTATTATAATCATCCTACATAAAATCTTATTATAACATCACACATATAGTCTTATTATAACATCCTACATTAAATCTTATTATAACATCTTACATAAAATCTAATTGTAACATTCTACATAAAATCTTATTATAACATCCTACATAAAATCTTATTATAACATCCTACATAAAATCTTATTATAACATCACACATATAGTCTTATTATAACATCCTACATTAAATCTTATTATAACATCTTACATAAAATCTAATTGTAACATCCTACATAAAATCTGATTGTAACATCTTAGATGAACTATTACTATATTCAACTTTTCTAGACTAGACAAGAAGTTTTGTAATGAAAACGAGGACAAGATTGGAGAGAAAAACAGCTTTCTTTATTGGTGTCGGTTGTTTCGGAATACACGTTTTCTATCATCAGCGAAATTCGTTCGTAAACCGTTAGTATTTTGAAAATATTAAGTTTCAAAAACAACGAGAAAACGAATAATCAAATGTACAAATATTATACACAACGTAAATCAAATAATAGGATTAAAACATTATCTCTATTGTGAAATGCTCAATAGAGAGAGAGAGAAACATGTGTAAAATAAGTGGAAATAAAATATGAATCCACCAATCAGGATTTAAGATACGGGAGATATAGACTGGTGATTATATTTATTCTAAAATTCGATAAGAATTTAAAGACCTGTTAGTTGATCGAGAAAGTGCCAGACTCGTATCTCATTTAAAATGAGATAATGTGAATGCAGTCATTTGTGCTACCGATACGACGATGGAACCTATGTATTAAACACATTATTCTGTATCCAAACACCAAGCCGAACGTGCTTGGATTTTAATATCTCCTAGTGATGGTCTATAATTATAGAGATATGGCTATAAGTTTTCTAAATGGACTAGTTTAAACACCTGTGTGAAGACGTATCTCAAACTAACTGTATAGACGGATTATTATAAATTTTCAACTGTAATATTTAGATATTTGTATAAAGCATAAGTGTCTGAAACTAACTGTATAGACGGATGGCTATAAGTTTTTCAGCTTGAATAGTTGAGACACCATGTCCGCGCTGGACCAGATGGATGACGGTGTAGAACTATTTAACTCGTCACTTTATAAACATTAGCAACACGTGTTTCTATAAGCAATTGTTGAACAGGTTTTCCTAGAGCATTAGGCATATAGCGAACACTAAAATAGATTAGATGCTGAAGAGCAACCATCAAACATTGCTTAGTCATCATCACCTTCGGTGGTTGTCATGAAGAAAGAAATGATAAAAATATTTTTGTGGACGGGTAAACATGTTAACATATAATTTCTTCTCGCGTACATTGTGCTTATTAAGAGTAAAAAACACAAAATCCGACGTTTTTCTTTTGCACAATGAAAGGTAAAATACTTATTACCATTGATTATTGCCAACTAGTTTCGGTAACACAGTTACCATCATCAGAGCTGTGTTACCAAAATTAGTGGGCTAGAACCAATAATAAAGATTTAACCTTTCATCGTACCTAAACACGTTGGATTTGGTGTTTTTACTCTTAATTTTAACACAAGTTGATGCATTTCCATTTCCACACTCAAGTAAATATCTGGAAGCCCTATATACTTTAACACGTTAGATCTTGCATCTGGCTACCGGCAGTAGAAACAGACCTAAAATTACTTTCAGCACGCAATAAGGATTTTTCATCATGTCATTCAGCCTGTGTAATCTGTCAACTGTTGATAACTGATGGAGTTCAGTATGCATTTTAGATTGCTGCTAAAAACCTTAAAATGATATTCCAGTAAACAAGGAAAACAGGTTGAAACTGAACAATGGAATATGTGTTCTTATGCTCATAGTTGGCAAGGGACGCGGGTGTCTTCTAATCCCACTAAGATTGAAACAGTAAGAGATTGGCTACAATCACTTAAAGAGTTCAAAATTTATCCAGCTTTGTGTCGTATTATTGATGTTTTGGGGCCAACTTCTCTAAGATGGCTGAACAGTTTTCTAGTCATAGTAAAGCTGATTCACATTTGAGATGAGTTGTGAATAATCATTCTGATCACTAAAATTTATTTTAATTAATTTACTAGTGTTGGCTTACATGAAGTCAGACTGTTCCATTGATAATGAATACAGGTTTCAATGGTAGTGGAATACATTTATGAGAAATGTCATCAATGGTGCAAGATATAATCGTGTGTGCCAGTTGTAGACTGACTGTTGTTGAACATCACTGCTGTAAGACAATGAACTGTGGTATTGTTGTCCAGTTGTAGACTGACTGTTGTTGAACATCACTGCTGTAAGACAATGAACTGTGGTATTGTTGTCCAGTTGTAGACTGACTGTTGTTGAACATCACTGCTGTAAAAGAATGAACTGTGATATTGTTGTCCAGTTGTAGACTGACTGTTTTTTGAACATCACTGCTGTAAGACAATGAACTGTGGTATTATTGTCCAATTGTAGACTGACTGTTTTTGAACATCATTGCCGTAAAAGAATGAACTGTGGTATTTGTTAAAGGTTGTCAACGCTATAGTAACTCAAAGGACTGCTAGTCCCACTTCTATTACTAGGAAGATAATATCTTTATTTAAATTCGGCAATTTTTTCTAAATATTTGTTGAGGTATTCTGCATTTATCTAGTGGTATTGATGTAAACAGATGTGCACAGGTCGATAACTTGTTTTAATCCTTTAGATTGTTTTTTTTTTAAGGCTTATACTTGATTGGCCCCTTTGTATGTACTGTCCTTCTGGAGTGAGGTCTGACTTATTTAAAAGGGTCGTAGAGAGAGTTGTACAAGTTAGTTTAACATGGGATTTATCTCACTTAC